CGGGAAGGGGATTTCAGCTTCGGAAAGGAGGGACAAAAGTGACCCACCTTTTTTACATGGATGACCTCAAATTATTCGCCTCCAGTCGCTCCCATCTTATGGAATTGCTAAACATCACGTGTGAATTTAGCAATTCTATTAGAATGGAGCTGGGGACGGATAAGTGTGCGGTCCTCCATGTTGAAAGGGGAAGGGTTGCTAACTCTGAGGGCGTAGACTTATCTATGCCCGTCAACTTAAGAACCCTTTCCGAGGCTGAAACATACCGATACCTGGGTATGTCACAGAACATCGGTATCGATGAGACTGGTATGAAACAGTCAGTTTGCGACGTGTTTTATGCACGCTTGACCAAAGTGCTTAACAGCCTTTTGTCCGGTGTGAATAAGGCACACGCATATAACGGCTGGGTCATGCCTGTCCTCATGTATACCTTTGGCATACTCAGGTGGACTCAGACTGAACTTAACGCCCTGGATAGAAAAGTCCGCACTACCATGACGTCCCATAGGATGCATCATCCGAGATCGTCGGTAATGAGGCTGTACTTGCCGCGGAAGCATGGTGGTCGTGGCTTCTTGAGCGCGCTCACCATGCATAATCGCGAAGTGTGCAGCCTCCGTGATTACTTCCTTGCGAGATCGGATGATCCATTCTATAAGGACGTCATTTCTTGTGATAAAGGACTTACCCCTCTATCCTTAGCCAACGAGCAATGGCAAGACCCGGCAGTGCAGAGCATTTCCGACCGGGAGACCGTATGGAAGGAGAAGGAGCTCCACGGGAGGTTCTACAAGGCTCTACATGAGCCTTTCGTAGACACAGTAGCCTCCCTCCACTGGCTACGCTTTGGTGATCTCTTCGGGGAAACCGAGGGTTTTGTCTGTGCAATACAGGATCAGGTTATTAAGACCAACAACTATCGGAGATACATCCTAAAGGATGGCACCGTCGACATCTGTCGAGCTTGTCGCCATCCCGGTGAGTCACTTAGGCATGTTATCTCCGGTTGTTCGGCGCTTTCTAACTCTGAGTACTTGCACAGGCACAACCTAGTAGCCAGAATTCTACACCAGGAGCTCGCTCTGAAATACGGTCTCGTGGATCGGAAATTGCCGTATTACAAGTACTTGCCGGAAGCCGTGCTCGAAAATGATCGCGCCAGGCTCTATTGGGACCGGGCCATCATCACAGACAGGACTATTCTTGCGAATAAGCCTGATATTGTGCTGATGGACCGGGCACAGTCAAGGATATTTTTGGTCGACATTACCATTCCGTATGACGAGAACCTCGTGAAAGCCGAAACAGACAAGAAAACAAAATATCTGGACCTGGCTCACGAGGTGACCGACATGTGGGGTGGTCTGCCGACCGAAATTATTCCTGTAGTCGTCTCTGCAAACGGGCTAATCCCAGTCAGCCTCTCGGGTCATCTGAGGCGGCTGGGACTACGTGGCGGACCGCTCCAGGTTCAAATGCAGAAGGCGGTGCTCCTCGATACCGCCCGCATCGTCCGCCGGTTTCTTTCCCTTTCCCCCTAACCCTCGGCCGTTTGGTCTCCCCTGCCGAGGGCCTCCATCTGGTTGGGCTTTTACTTATTTATGTACTTTTATATTTATTTTACGTTATTGATATTTATGTATATTTATCTTTTCATTTTCATTTATAATTATATATTTATAGAACCCAACCAGATGAGAAAACTATATAGATACCCCATAATAATAATAATAATTCTTTATTTAAATCACAAGGTATTTTAACATAAATAAGTGGCTAGAGCCTCCCTTTAAGCACAGAGCGCCTGTAGTAGGAGGCTCCGCTCTTCCACAACTTCACAAACAAAATCTTATGAAATACTTTTAGACAACTAATATAAAAACGTGCATGTTTGTGTGGTGTGTGTGTGTGTGTGTGTGTGTGTGTGTGTGTGTGTGTGTGTGTGTGTGCGTGTGTGTGTGTGTGTGTGTGTGTATGTGTGTGCGTGCGTGAGTGCAAGCGTGCGTGCGTGTGTGTGTGCGTGCTGTACTTATTTGAGTATTCATATGAGCGACTTTTCAAGGAGAGACTCAATTTCCTCATAATCAAGTGGTTGTAGATACTTTTTTTACTGCATTTTTACATTCGTAATGGGTCATTGTGTAAATTCCTACATGTTTATTAATTTTGTTGTATAATTCTGCTGCGCGTTTACTATACTGAACTCTAGCAAAAAACGTGTGAGTATTGGGAACTTGTGCTACTAATTCTTTTCTCCTCTTTTTGTAAAATATTTGGATTAAAAGATAGGGACTTATGTTTCTTTAATATTGTGTGCAGTACATAAATTTTTCGTACTGATAATAACTGTGTTTCATTGTAAAGACTTGTAGTAGGATATCTTCTGTTTTTAAAATACATATTTTTAATTAAACCACGTTGCGCACGTTCCAAGTGGATAAATTTTGTTTTGCAAGCACCCCCCCATATAGATATACAGTACCCCAAAACGGATTGTACCAAAGCTGTGTATATATCGTTTAATAATTTGTTTTGCATAAGTTCAGTGGACGCTTTTCTTGGCACCACATGTCTTAAGGTACGAAATATCCAATTTAATTTAGCAATTCTGTTAGATACATGTTCTATGTGAGAATACCATGACAATTTCTGGTCTATTATTACACCTAAATATTGTGTATATGTTACTTTATTTATAAATGGACAGTTATTATTAAAGGCGCAGTTATTTATGTTGTTACACGTATGAATCCTTATATTGAAATCTTCCGAGGGTTGCGTGCGTTTACATATACTGAAACAGATATAATTAGTTTTTGCTGCATTAAGGGTCAGTAAATTCAAATTTAACCATTTTGCCACCTGGGCCATCCCAAATTCTGCCCTTTCCTTAACTTCTTGCCACGATTTACCTTTAAAGATAACTGCTGTATCATCAGCATACGAAATTATTTGTGCGTTTTCTATTTTTAAGTTGCACAAATCGTTTATGTAAAGCAGAAACAAGGAAGGCCCCAATATACTGCCCTGTGGCACACCATATGATATAGTTGCGTCGTCACTAATAAACTGGTCAACTTTTACACATTGATTTCTATTGGAGAGGTAGTCTCTAAAAAGTTTAAGGGCAGTACCTCTTACTCCGACTTTTTCCAGTTTATATAAGAGTAGGGGGACAGAAACCATGTCAAACGCTTTCATGAGATCTAAGTACACAGTTAAGCATTTTTGACCTTTATCTAAGTCATCAACCACCAATGATGTCATACGAGCAACTGCATCCTCACTAGATTTGCCATGCCTAAAACCAAACTGATAAGGAGATAATATATTAAAAGAATTTAAATAATTAAGAAGTCGAATATTAATTAATTTTTCAAGTATTTTTGATATAGCTGGTAATATTGATATGGGCCTATAATTACTGATGTTGCCACTGTCCCCTCCCTTAAATATTGGTACAATAGAAGATTTTTTTAGTTTCTCCGGGAAAACGCCTTTTTCAAAACATAGGTTAGTGAGGTGGGTGAAAATTGGTATCAGTTCGTTCTTGGCATACTTTAAAAATCTAGTGGAGATCCCGTCCCAACCAGGGGCACTATCAGTCTTTAAATTCATTAATATGCTCTCCACCTCACCTGTGTCCGTATTTAATAGTACAAAGGAATTAGACTGTGTAGGCAAGTTATGATGTTGTATGTTATGGCCGCTTGAATTTAGTTGTTGTGCTAATTTTTTACCAATATTGACAAAGTATTCATTAATATAGTTGATTGATTGCAATGGTGATGATTTTATATTTAATAACTCTGTATTTTGATCCTTAGATTTATTGCAGTATGTTATGTTTATAATATTCTTCCAAAGTAATTTATTATTTGAAACCGATTTTGCAAGTAATTCTCGTTCATATTTACGCTTTAGATGTTTTAAAAGATTATTACAGTAATTCCTATACCTTTTATACGTTATCTTAAGTATTTCATCGTGTGGGTCTTTTCTTGCTTGTTTTTGTAAATTATTTCGATTTTTAATGCAACGTAAAATACCAGTTGTTATCCAAGGTTTTATGACCCGTTTGTTGCTAGGAATAACTCTAATTTCAGTACACGTTTTCAATGAATCAGTTATTCGTTGTATAAGTTGACTTATTAATAAATTTGGATCCTCACAAAACAGTAATTCTTGCAAATTTTGGTCACGTAGATGCTTAAGAGCTTTTTCAAAATCTATAGAATTCTTTGTTTTATTTATTCTTATATTGCTCTTTAACTTAGATAATGATAAAAATGTAGTAAAATGATCTGTGATAGATGTTTGTATAATTGCTATAAAAGCTGATACTTTCTTTCTATTAATTTTTAACATAAAATGATCCAAACAATTTTTTTCTCTGGTGGGTAAACAATGTCCAGGAAGTATACCATGTGTTGAAAGCATATTTAGGTAGTTTGCCCTATTTTTAAACTCATTAGGAAGTTCTACAGATTTTGTTTTTATATTAATATTAATATCTCCTGCAATTATAACGTTATTCTGGGTATTTAATGTACTTAAGTGGTTATCAAGTGAATCAATAAAAATATCAGTGTTAGTGTTAGATGGAGAACGATATATACATAATATGGTATTATTGAGTAGATCTAGCTGTAGACAAGAAGCCTGTGATATTTGTATTTCCTTAACTTTAGGTTGTAACGTATTTTTGACATAAACCACTACTCCATCATTTTGATTCACCTGATATTTTGTAGCATAAGAGCAATAGTTATTAAGTTGGGGAATAGGTTTATTTACATTTAATCGACATTCAGTTAAAATTATTATATCTGTGTCAAATGTTAGGCTAGAATATGTAATTAAAAAATCATCAAAGTTATGGTAAATACTTCTAATATTCTGGGAAATAATGGTAAGATCGTTTTTGTTAATATAAATATGTTTTGTTAGGTCAGAAGTACTACTACACTCGATAGACCGCGCTATGTCTATACTATCTATTTCTTGTAAAGTTTGTAAGGTCTTATTATCCATTTTGTGTGTAGGCAGGGGCAGGCAAAATGAACGCCTATTTCGTATTTATTCATAGATTGTAAATATTTAATGCCTTTATTGAACCTCTTCATATGTGTGGACAGAGACATCATGTCCCGCGTGCCGATTGGCCTTCTTTCATCATTTGATTCGACAAAGACAACAAACTCAACAAGGACAGAGTCCTCAGAGTACCTCCTGTTGTAGTCAGATACAAAGTACGGCTTATACTTGCGTTGCTCTTTTACAGAATCTTCCTCAGTACTGGTGTTAACTTCTTCCTCCTCAGTCGTTTCTTCAAAGACTTCTTCTCCCGGCAACATTTTTTCTACGTTTCCCCTATGATGAGGAAACCCAGTAACGATAAAACAATAAAAGTTTAGTGCCTTTTAACTGAACAAAACAAAATCAAAATTTTAATTTAAAAAAAAGGCGCCTATCACGTTTCAAGGTTCCCGCGTTGCTTTGTTGATTGATTTGACAATGACCTATATATTACTTTTTTTTAACCTTTTATAGACAAGGGACACATGTATCACACAGCCAACGTCGATTTTACACTTTGTTTTAATCGATTTTCTTTTGGTAAACATTCTCTTGTATTATTTTGTGGGACAACTACTTAAGATCTTTATTATTAGTCAAGAATATTTTTGCCACTTTGGATATTAGATATAGGTCATAAGTTTGCATAAAAAATTTATTTATATTAAGTTTACTCTGTAAACAGTGAACTGATGGGTTGGTGATGTTTATGTTTAGTAATTTTTAGTTAATAGTTATAGTTTACATAACTTACTTTTTTTACTATATATTTTTTGATTATTTTTCTATATATTTATATTTAAGTCTTTGTAATATGTCTGATGTTGAGTCGTTTAGCTCTGCAAATGATTCTTCTACTTTGTCATTTCACTCTTAATGATTCTTTCAACGATAGCGTGCTTAATTTACACGAACTACTCAAAGGAGTTTTTACGTCTTTTAACAACTTTGTGAACATTTTATGTCATATTAACGCTCAAAGTATCCCGAGCCACTATTCCGAACTTGAAACTTCATTTTTGCCCGAGATATTCATGCTATATTAGTGTCGGAAAGTTGGCTGAAACTTCTTTACCGTCAACTTTATATCCCTTTCCCCCCCGGCTTTGTACTTGTTAGGAATGATCGTGTTGGAAAAGGTGGAGGTGGTGTAGCAATCTACCTACACGCATCAGTTCCTTACAAAATTGTTTTAGCATCTCCTTTCTGCTATTCCGCTTCCTCTGAGTTTTTATTTGTGGAACTCGATGTCAAGGGCATCAGGATGCTTCTAGTGGTAGTGTATTGCACCCCATCTACCGACTACTTCGCCACTTTAGATATGGCTCTTGTTGATATTTGTTCTGAGTAAACTCACTGTATAGTCATCGGTGACTTCAATGCTGATCTGTTGAAAAACTGCCCTCGTTCCAAAAAGATTCTTTTAATAATGGAGTCGGTTAATCTTTCTATTCTCCATTTAAAGGCATCTTCCATCATAATATCGGAACCGATGACTCATTGATTGATCTAATCCTTGCTGCTTCTCCTGAACATGTGATGATGCACGGAGAGTTACCCCCTTTGGGTTTCTCACGCCACGACTTAATTTATGCTTCGTATATTCGTAAGAACAAATAAGCACTGAGACGACGACTAGTTCATAATATTATATATTAATCTATGGTCTATGCAGATAATCTTAAAAATTAAAACTGGTTATAACTTTTACGTCCAAAGTTTTAAAAATCTAAGAATTCAAAAAGGGGTTTGTCTATCCTACTATCTACCAATTAAAACAAAAATGTCCCAAAACACGAAATTTTATTTATTAGCGGTACGAAACTCCCATACAACCCTGCCATTCCCTTTTAAAAATGAGTATCAAACTTTTGTTTATATTAGATTCACAGTTAGAATTAAATTGATACTTCCGAGCAGTGTTGCCAGATGCCTTGAACCTTTTATCTGTATTAGAAACTGCTAAAATCTGTATTAAATCTGTATGCTATTTAAACTTTCTAAAATCTGTATAATTTAATAAACCAAACTAGAATAATTGATCATCATCGTCATCATTGCTTCTTTTGAAAAACAAGGAATAACTACCAACGTGATAAGCTGATAAGGTTTGATTATCGTTATTAAATGATTTTTTTATAGAATAAAGGTGACAAAGGAGCACATAGTCTACCGATGGTAAGCGGATACTGTGGCTCACAGACATCTACATTTATCCTCGCTTAAGAATAAAAACGCAGATACGTTGTCACGCCAGAGGACTATGATGGAATGCCTCATTTCCAGTAAAAAAATGGTCTCCGGATTCCTACACTCACCATACGAAACACAGCAGTATTAAGCTGGTATTTTACGCTGGTATTCTGTGAGAACGTGGTCTTTCCCCGGTCAAGCTGACTTATTCGTGCTGCAACCATAGTATAACTGCAGCGTGGCTTTACCACGTATAAAATATACACTATACACAAAAATTTTTTATATAGCAAAATTGAAAACATTAATTTAAGCAAACGACATATTAAAACTCAAACATTTACAACAAATGAACATATAATTACTTTATTATTTTCAGTCATATATATATTTTATATATACATATGTTATAATACACTTTTAATTCTGCCATACTAACTAATTACGTTGTGAAAAAATAAAATTAACCCTAAAGAATAGAATCATGCAGTGATGTGTGTAACGCGGTATATATGGTTCATAAAAGATAGCTTGATCTCTGCAACAGCTGTCAGTAAAAGTGATTTTACTGACAGCTGTCGCAGAGATCAAGCTATCTTTTATGAAATATAGTCACTTATTTTGCTTCATTCTGTTTTAAGTTTTATATTACGGTAATCCAATCAATAGAGTTAGAAAACTCTGTAATAAAATCTGTATGCAGTGCTAATCTGTATCACACACCGAAAATCTGTATAAATTCGGGGAAATCTGTATATATGGCAACACTGCTTCCGAGGAATGTTTGAATGCATATTCGGTTATAGCAGGGGTGCCCATACGGTCGATCGCAAAGGCTTTCAAAGTAGATCGTCGAGGAATTTTTTTTATGAAATGACCTTCAAACAGGTAGTTTATTGTTAAAAAAAAAGAATAAAGAATTATGAAGACTGTACCACAACATCTGACCCAACCCTTCGGTGCGAGGGCCGAAGGAAATCCAAAACGTATCACTTCAATCCTGAGTGGGAAGAAGAGTTTTTCTTCACATGGTAAAAGAAAAATGTGTTTGTTTGATATGCCGATTTGCCATCGCCACACCAAAACGAGGTAATTTGGAGAGACATTATAATACCGCTCATAAAAAACATGAAGACAGCTTTCCACGTCACAGTGATATACGAAAATCTAAATTGAAAGACATGAAGCGTTATTTGGCAGGTGAAAAAGCCATGTTTACAAAACCGTTGGAGAAGTTCAAAGCGGCTACTATTGCATCATACAAAATAAGCCACATTTTAGCTAAAAATAAGAAGCCATTTGATGATGGAGTGATGATAAAAAAATGCTTTCTCGAAGCAGCTGAGTCGTAGTTCGTGAATTTCAAAAACAAAGCTGAAATAATTTCAACCATTAAAGATATTCAACTATCCCGGCAAACCGTGACTAGACGTGTGGAAACAATAAGCCAAAACTTGGAAAGTCGAACTATGAATGATCTCAGAGACTGCTCTTACTTTTCACTCCAATTTGATGAATCCACAGACGCAATAGATGTGGCGCAATTGTGTATTTTCATACGCATGGTCTTTCCAGATATGACCGTTAAAGAAGACTTTCTAACAATAATACTCGAGGAGTATATGTCTATGATTTATTTCTAAAGTCCACACAAGAAGCACGAATGCCGCTGTATAAACTTGTATGCATAACCACAGATGGAGCTCCAGCCATGACAGGCAACCACAACGGATTCATACATATAGCACTGTGTCTAGAACCTATGAATGAAGAATTTCCGAGCTTTTTCGCCTATTATAAAAGATAAAATTATGACAAAATATTCTCCATTTATTAATATCTTCAAAGCGTCTTTCAAATTTGCTCAGAATTTTTGTCACTTTGTTTACATATGACACAAAACTTTCAGAGTTTTGTTACAATAGCAGGGTTGGAAAGTTCCTGCAGTCTTTGTTTTTAATTCCTTCCTTCAATTGTTTCAACTTACGTTTGAAAGAATTTATGGAGGACATCATGTCCAAATCATGTGATTGCGTATGTTTACAAGCTTTTATTTAACTTGCAAAGATGTATGATATTATCTTCAACCGATTGAGCTGAAATTTCGTATACACGTTTAGTTTGAATTGCAATGCAATATTATGGTATCATGAAGCTGGTCTGATGATGAAGCCGGAAGGTGGCCATAGGAACTAGTCAAATTAAAACATAACCTCGTCGTGTTTATTCTTTTTAATGCATTATAATGTACAGAGTCTCTTGATGAGCCGGAAGGTCATTGATAAAAAAAACGACGTGCGTGCGTGTATTATAGGTATACTCTTCAATACACAACATAACATCGTCGTGTTTGAGCTCGTTGAATTTGTTTTGACAAAATCTTTAGACATGTGTGATGTCCAGGGTCCACAATATAACCTAGTCGTGTTTATTTTTAGTGCATTAAAATAAAAGCTTGCTTTCAAAAATATCTTTTTTGTGTATTATGTTAATTATTGTGTATTATGTTAACTAATGTGTATTATGGTAATATTATATTATGTATTCAAGTAAATATAGAAGCTATGTTTATCTTTGTCTAGTACCACCATCTTGCCTCTTTCTGTCTCCAAGCACTACTGCTTGTTCGCACCATTGTGTTCCGGTTTGAAGGGCAAGATAGCATGCGGTCGTGGTCGAGCCACACCGTCTGACATCGTTATTACAGGCACAAGACACATGAATAACACCTTGAAGTCTCAAGATCGGCAACACATTTTTTATTGTTTCAACTTTCGTCAAATTGATTTTTATTTGTGGTTTTTATACTTCTTGCTTAATGCAAAGCAGGATGCTTGTGACTGCAATTTAAAATACATGTAATAATAATTATGTACTTTTTGTTTCATGTATGTACTTAAAAGGATTGCAAAAGTCAAGAAAAAGCTTTTTGAAGATGATAAAATTTCTGAAAATGACAACAAGGAAGACACTCCAAACACAAATATTGTGAAGATAAACAAGAAATTTTTTGAGCGTCAAAGAGAGACCAAGAAAATACCCGTCTCTCTAAACGAAAATGATTGTTTATTAATTCCTTTAAACATGCCCAGTGATGAAATGTTAATACCATCTGCTGAACTTCCCAATTTAAATGAGTTTCCTAATGTCAATGAAAATTCATATTAAGATCCAGCTGAGCAACAGATTTCATAAAAAAATAAAAATCCAGGTCGAAAGAGAAAAGGACAGCGGGAACCTGGAAAAGAAAAATTAATAAAATGAAAAGAGAAAAAGGAGAAGAGTACACAGGGGCAAAAGGAAAATGCATGCAGTCTAGAATTATTAAACCCGGGTGTGAAAGTAATTGTAAGCTTATGTGTTCTACAAACTTCCCTTTGGCTCTGAGAGAAAAAATAAAATCTGAATTTTACAGCTTGACTGATGCCCAAATATACAAATTTTACAGAAAATACACTGCAAGAACCAAAAAAAAGTAGAACGCGAACTAAAAAAGAAAGGTGTAAGAGAACGTATACATTTCACTATTATTTTCGTAAAGAAAACGAAATTGTTAAAGTCTGCAGAACATTTTTTTGTTCTACGTTAAGTATTTCTGCTCACCGGATTTACTATTTTCATTTAAAAATGGAAAAAAGTGACACACTCTTGCCTCCTACGCCGAGAAAAGGAAAATACATCAAAAAAGACACCGCCTGAAAAAATAAACGAAGTTATTGATCACATTATATCGTTCCCAACAGTAGATTCACACTACTGTCGATCGTCTAGTACGCGCCAATATTTACAACCTAGGTTGAGTGTCTCAAAAATGTACTCATTATACGTGGAAAAGCATAAAGATCCTGTTAAAGAAAACATATACCGAAAAATATTCTGCGAACGATTTAATCTTGGCTTTCATCGCCCAAAAAAGGATGTTTGCGATTTTTGTTCCGAGTTTAAAGCTCAAAAAAACTCCAGCAGTGATCTTATAGAAAAACGTGAGGAGCGCTTACAAAGAAAAAAAGAGGGTGACAAAGAACGAGAAAAAGACCGAAAACTGAAAACCAGTAAAAACAACGACACAGCCGTTGTAACTTTTGATTTGGAGAACATTTATTCTCTGCACAAAGCAAATGTATTATGCTTTTTCTATACAAGCAAATTGACCGTTTATAATTTAACAGCGCACTGTGATATTAATAAAAGTGCCGTTAACGCTTTGTGGGACGAGACTAGAAATGGAAGAAGTGGCGATGATTTAGCCAGTGCATTGGTTAAAATTTTAAAAGAAATGGTAAGTTTTTTACCAGATACTATAACTAAACTAATACTATGGTCAGATTCGTGCGTCCCGCAGAACAGAAACTCACATATGAGTACTGCTATTATCAAATTTTTACAGTCCGACGTTTCCAAATATATAACAAGTATTACCCAAAAATTCTCCGAACCCGGCCATGGTAATTTATTTATTTATTCTTTTTTGTACACCACAATACAGAAACATCAATATAGTTAAAACTAATTAAAGTATGTACAATAGGCGGTCTTATCACTGAAAGTGATTTCTTCCAGACAACCTTTGCGTAGAGGAATGATGCAAACAAAAGTTACAAAAAGAGGGGGGCATACAAAATAATAATAAAAAAAATACAATAATACATACAAATAAAAGTAAGTGAAAGTTATATATAAAATATCATATAATAGATTAAATGAAAAGAGTAAGAGAAAGGTAAAGTAATTTATCTAATAGCGTTCTAAATAATACGATTTAACAAGAATTTTGAAAGAGTGAAGAGAGTCACGACGAGAGGTAAGGAGTTCCACAATCGCACAGCGGTTACGGTGAAGGATTTCTTGAAGAAGGAAGAAGAGTGCAAAGGTGTAGAGAGAGAAAGATTGATGGAGGATCGAAGGAACCGATTATGGGTAAGAGAAAGATACTGGAAACGGTTTTTTAAATAAAGAGGAGTAGAAGGATTAAACAGCACACTATACAACGCGGAGAGAATGTGAGTATTCCTGCGAAGGCGGATCGGGAGCCATTTGAGCTGTTTGCGAAATTCGGAGATATGATCATATTTGCGAAGCCCAAATATAAATCTAATGCATAAATTTTGAATGCGCTCAAGCTTATTAAGCTGCTCCTCGGTAATGTCAAGATAGCAAATATCAGCATAGTCAAGGATAGGCAGAAGAAGAGACTGGGCGAGCGTAACTTTAGTTGCTGTGGGAGAAGGAAATTACGTAATCTACGTAAAGAGCTTAACGCCGGAAACATTTTTCTACTGACCTCATTAACCTGTGAGATCCAAGACATACAGGAGTCAAGATACAGGTTTTTAACCTTGTTACTGTAAGGGATTAGAGTGCAGTCTAGTATAATAGGGGGTAGGGAAGACCAGCCAATTTTACCAATTAATCTAGAACTACCGATGACAATGACTTGAGTTTTCATAGGATTAATCGTTAAACCGTAACATTTACTCCAATTCGAAATACAAGTCAGATCAGCGTTAATAGTGTCAACTGCTTTAGATAGATCTTCAAGAGAGGACTGAGTATAGATTTGGAGATCATCAGCATACAAGTGGTAGGAAGAGGACAAATTATGACTTATAGAGTTAATGAAAATTGCAAAGAGGAGAGGAGATAACACGCCACCTAGTGGTACACCAGCAGCTGTAGTAATCCAGGTGGAAAAAACCTCTTGCACCTGAATTCGCTGTCGGCGACCAAACAAGTAACTTCGAAACCAGTCAACTACAGTTGGAGATATGTTGAGAGAGCGTAGGATGCTTAACAAGATATCAAAATCTACAGTATTAAATGCGTTACTAAAATCAAGCAACGTGAGAATAGTAAGCTTTTGTTTCTCCATACCATACCGAATATCATCAGTGATTTGTAAAAGTGCAGTAGTCGTACTATGGCCAGGACGGAAACCGGATTGCAAGGGATTTAAAAGATTGTGTTTTAAAAGATAGGTGCTTAATTGATTGTGCACAAGACGTTCTAGAACTTTGGAAAAGAAAGGCAAAATAGAGATAGTCATAATCAGAAAAACTAGAGTGATTTAATTTTTTCGGAAGAGGAACTACAAATGAGTCTTTCCAAGCTGAAGGGAAAAAAGCAGAATTCAGTGATTTATTCAGGATAGACGTGATTATAGGTAAAAGGAGATCAATGAGAGGGATATAAATCAGTCACTACCAATCGAATTTGAATGGATGGACATTATGGCTCTCTAAACATCACAACTGTTAAATTGGCTAAAATTAAAAGCAGGGGTGTCCGGAGTGGGAGCTTTTGAAAGAGAATCTAAAGTATTATGTTTTGCTTTATCGTTAATGCAAGACGAAGATGAGAAATGCAAATTAAGTTGATTGAGATCAAGGTTATGGTGTGTGAGATTTTGTCGTAATTTCCCAACTCCTAAGGACTTAAGAAATTTCCAGACCCTAGCAGGATCAGGATCTTGTACTGATTCATGGATATGGCGTCGTTGTGCTTTTCTACACAGATTGTTGCAACGATTCCGTACTAATCTATACTTCTCTCTATTCAAATCGCTAGGGACTGACTTGTATTTAGCTTTGGCACAATTTTTAATGTGGATGATTTTTTTTATATCATCGGTCAACCAAGGAGAGGGAGGATGCTTTACACGCACTGGACGAACAGGAGCATGAACGTCGTAAAGCTGAATTAACAGAGAGTTGAACAAAGCAACCTGTTCATCAACAGTAGACGCATTGACGACTACACTCCAATCAATCTTTACAGCGTCATTTAAAAGCTGCTCCAAATCCAAGTCACTAAAGTTACGCTGAAGTAGTGTCCTTGACTTAGCTTTAGGGGGGACGGATTTTGTACGACAAGTATAAAAGGTCGTGATAGGAAAAAGAATCAGCAGCATGTTGCCCAAATTTAAGAACATGGTCAGGTGAAGACACAAACATTATGTCGAGAAGAGAAGGGGCACAGTTCGGGAAAAAGTGTGTGGCAGAAGTAGGAAGAAGTTTTAAATTTGCTGCTTCAATAATAGATTTAAGTTTTATTGATCTAGCGTTGTTTTTTAAAAGACAGGTATTAAAATCACCCATAATAACACTGTGACAATAGATAGGTGTAAGATTGTCAAGCTAACTATTTTCTAACGTGGTGAAGTAGTCGACAGTGAGAGAGGGACTGTAAAAAACTCCAAGAAGTAATTTTGTATGACCAAGAAGAACTTCGATAAAGAGAAATTCAGCTTCGTTTCCAGCTCTGCGAACCATTTGAAACTTGAATTACTGAAAAAGGTATATGTGAGCGCAGATAAATAGCAACACCACCACCGCCCCGATCGGTACGGTCATTACGAATCAAATGAAAACCTGGAAGCGAGTAGGAAGTTGATGGAAGACATGGTTTTAACCACGACTCCGAAACAAGGATAGCGTGTATGTTTTTGCTATTAAAACTTGACAACATGTCGGGGTAATGAGCAGGAATACTTTGAGCATTTATGTGAATAGCGTTAAAGTTTTTGTTAGATTCAGAAAAAGTTGAATCTAACATAATATTTAAGGGTTCAATACTTTCAAAGCTGTCAATACTGCTTAATCTATCAGAGGCATCAAAGGCGAAGGAATTGGAACTCCGAACACTATCATCTGAAGAAATCATATTAAATTATATCTGATTACTAAATATATGTAAAACTAAGTAAATATGTATTATTATATGTACGTATTATATATATATATATAAAAAAAAAATATATATAATTATAAAATAAATAATTCAAAAATAAAGAAGTCATCAGTAAACTACCTGCCAGCATTATGGAAAGAAATGTTTAATTCACTTAACAATAAGTGAAGAAACGGAACGTTAACATACCATAGACACAAAAGTGAGAGGTGTTAATGTCAGATGAGTCAAAAGTGTCAAAGTTACAGTACGTTAACTAGCAATTATCTACCTTACAATATACTTTTATCACTAATACTAAACATTCCAAAAAAAGAATTCCAATAACAATTACCAACATACAAGAAAAATTATAACACTAAATAATAAACATTCCAAAGAGAGATTATTAATCATTACATTTTACTATCTAATCTACAATTAACAAGGAAAAGTACTGAAGATATAATGATAAAAAAGAAAACTAAAATATGAAGTCCAGA